ATATATTTTTTATTATAAGATAATGCTTCAACACTCGAAACTATCTTCATCACAGGAGTTATTCAGTGATAAATTCAGTTCTTTATTAGATTTGAAATCCACTTGTTCAAATTAGGGGTAATAATTACGTACATTTTTAACCTTTGGACTTTAATGGGACAAAGTAATTATCACATGTAGTTGCTGTAGAAGGTAATAAAAAAGTTAATCTTGAAAAATTAACAACATGACAAAAACTTTTATTGTAATTATTTTAATTGAAAAGTGAATTGTATCAAACAATTAATTTTTTGTTTATACTTTTTACTCAAAAACAATAACTTATAATAATAATAGTAATTATATATAATAATTATAAACTTATAATAACTTAATAACAATGTTTAAATTGAAGATTCTTCATTTATAGGTGAAATATTTGAAGATTGTTGCTGTAAGTAGTTGTAGTCCAAGTAAAGTCAGTGAAAAAAATAGCCTACTCCAACATTCAAAACATTTTTTTTTAATTTCTTAATGATATTTACAACTGTATCAAAGAAATACATTTAGTAAATTTGATCATATGGATATAATGACGTGAAAACACTTGTTGAAAAACTACCCAATGGTAGAACTCTAATAACAGGTCTACACCAGGGATCACAGGGCCATCTTCTTTTCAGACGCCTCGTAGGGTTATCAGGAATTGAAGAGGAAGCAAGGTTAGAAACGAGAGGGTTGGGATGATTGGGCCAGATCTGAAACATAAGAAACAAAGGTCATTATGGATGGTTTTATTTGTAACAAAGTAGGGAGTATTGCGGATTTTACGAAGTATTTCGGATTGTAAGGATTGGATACGAGAGGAATTCGATGGTTTAGTGGAGCTCTATAGTTCAACCCGGTGCCGAAGGGGATTTCAAATTCCCCGCCTTCACCCCCCGGCCCGGGAAAATCCCGTATAGCCTAATAGGCGAGGTAGGGAAGAACAAAAAAAAACAAAAAAACTTTAAATTCTCTATAAAAATGACCTTATACATTTTGTTGATAAAATCAATGGTTACGGAGATATTTATGAGATAATATTTATTGCATTTCAACTTTAAGCAAAAATTGCTCCTAACTATGAAAAGTTTTTCATAATGGACGATACTTTTTATAAGTTTAATTAGTTTTTTAAACATTTTATAAAATGTTTTAAAAAAATGTTTAAAATTGTAAAATCAATGTTTGCGGAGATATTTATAAGATTATATTTATCGTATTTCTACTTTAAGCAAAAATTGCTCCTAACCACGAAATTGATATCTTTCATAGTAGATGGTAGCTTTTTGAAATTAAATTAGTTTTTTAACATCTTCGATCCTTATTATTATTCAAAGTTTCTTTCTTTTAATGGTTCTTAAAAGTCATTGACAACAGAATTATACTCGATATCATTGGGGAACTTCGTGATAATGCTATGAAGTTGAACCAAACTTACCGTAGTTTAACTGCTTAAAAGTCTCCTTAAAGTGGTTTTAAAGAAGACAAGATTTATTTGTATTTAATGTCAATTTAATCTAGTTTACTAAGAAGTAATCGGTTGTAACCTAAATTAAATATTTTTTCTAATATTGCTTTTAATTTATATATTAAAAAAAATCATATAATTCTGTTGTCAATGACTTTTAAGAATAATTAAAAGAAAGAAACTTTGAATAATAATTTGAAGGATCGAAGATGTTAAAAAACTAATTTAATTTAAAAAAGCTACCGTCTACTATGAAAAATATCAATTTCGCGGTTAGGAGCAATTTTTGCTTAAAGTGGAAATACGATAAATATAATCTTATAAATATCTCCGCAATCATTGATTTTATAATTAAAAATGTATAGTGTCATTTTTATAGATATTTTGAAGTACTTTAATATTGTACTGAACAATCATTGTGAAAAAACTAACAGTTTTTTCAACATCTCAAAATGTTCTCAATAAACTAAAAAAATATCAATTTTCTCTCCTTCCTCTTCTCATCAAAACCTAACACGGGATTCTTTGGGAGTTTGCTTGTTATTACAGGGAGAGCAATGAAAAATTTTGACAAGTTTCATCTTTATTTTTTTAATGTTTGGGTCAATATCTAATTTTACTGTACTATTGCTAGGGTAATCTGATCAGTTGGAAACTATTGTTAATTGTATTTGTGGAATTTGTAACGTGGTCTTTGTGGAATTCCTAGATGGTCCACTGCAAGGGGTGCGATTAGTTTAAGGGGGCTTTTGGGAGTGAAGCCCCCTGTTCTTTCCATAGCAATAAAAAAAATAAATAAATAATTTTCTAAAATTAAAATAAAATAATTTAATTAACATATGGAATTAAATATATATTTTAAACACATTTTACCGTCTTAACAAAATAAATATTAATATTAGTAAATGACTGTTACTAAAAGTAGTTTTTATAGTAGGTACTTTAGCAGATAGTAATCCTGGTTAAGCAGCTGTTCGGGTTCAAAAATTTACTTACCTAATCTTATGGTCCGCTAGATTTATTAATTTATATTTCCGTTACATCAATCCACTGAGTTGACCACCAGAAAATGAAGTTACATGTGCAAATGCAAGAAGAGACTGATGAAACCTGGGTTAATAGAATAAGTTTGGAATCTTCCCACTCCATTATTCTGGTTGCCACTGATTTATATATATATATATATATATATATATATATATATATATATATATATATATATATATATATTTATACAAGTATTTTTTTTTAATTATTGAAATTTACAACTGTATTAAATGATAAATATAACAAGTAAATATGAAAGAAGTAACATGACATGTTCAACATGAAGAGAAACTACCCTTTGGTGTCACTCCAATTATATTTCTATATTAGAATTTTCCGAGGCCATCTTCTTTTCAGACTCCTCGGAGGTTTATCAGGAATAGAAGAGGAAGCAAGGTTGGAAACGAGAGGGTTCGGATGGTTCAGAAGTTTATTATGGAAGTATAGTTATCTAGATTGAGCTGAATCGGAAACATTTGGTACATTAAGGTCGTTATGGGTGATTTTATTTGTGACAAAGTACGAAGCATTGATGATTTTACGAAGGATTTTGGATTTAGAGACTGGATACGAGAAGAATTTGATGGTTTAGTAGAGCCCCAAAGCTCGATTCGTTAGTCAAAATAGACCTTATTATAGTAATATATATGAGTCTTTTGTAAATAGTTGGAAGTTTAGAGCGTTGGTCTAGTAAGTGCTGCAGTAGTCGAAAACGTCGGGCGGTTTCTAGTCGTTTCAGTCTGGTATGGGGGTTCCATGTAAATAAGTATGAATATTATAAATAAGTATAGATGTGTTTTTATATTTTATATTTTTATTAATGTTGTCTCAAGTTTCATTTCTTTTCTTTTATTAAGTTTTGTTTTTTCTTTTCCTTTGTTATAATTTTCCTATGATTTTTGTTATTTTATACAGTGTGTCCCGTAAGTAGAAGGATATATTTAAGAGGTTGATAGTAGACATCAAGATCTACAAAAAAGTTTATATAAACAATCGCCCAATTTTCAGCAGAAAAGTAGTTTTTATGCGAGTAACGTTTTTGTTGAATAGGAAGCGATAACATAAAAAGTATTTGATTCAAGTAATTAAACATTACTACATAATAAATTAGACAAAATTTCCTTTATACGAAAGTAGAGTTTGTCATTGTAAAAACTTTTTAAAGTGTACTATTGGGTGGACAAACGCAGCTAAGTTCCGTTTTAAAAAGTCATAAATTATTTGTGATTTTTTTTTTCACCCTTCAACTGTCCTAAATTTACCCCACTTTTACAAAAATTCCCCATTTAATAAGCTTTAAGGATCAACAAATAATTTATGACTTTTTTTGCCAAAAAAGAAGATTAAGGTTAGAGGTTTGAAAGTTGATAAGTTTAGAATTTATCAAGAATATCTGAAATCTTGATTTTCATTTTTTTGTTTTTCTGTTATTTTGAAACTAGAACTTTTTGCAATTTATAAGTAAACTTCTTACTGAACTTTTATTTTTTTTTTGTTTAAATTATTTAAAAGTTCTGTTCGTTTCGTCAAAAAATCGATATAAACTAATCTTATTCAGAGCTTCTTAAACAAACAACACATTAGAATCATGTAATTCATTTAAGATAATAAATAAAAGTTAAAATTGTACCATGAATTTAGAATTTTATTACAAAGATGTTCCCTGGATATTTTATTTTAGAACGACATTTCCCAAAAAAGTTAAACAGGAACTGTTAAAATGGAACTTAAAAAAAAAAAAAATTTACACGTTACACGGAACTTGCTGGCTGAGCAAAATTAACTGATTGTAAGTCTGATGAATTTTGTAGGCATGACTTTTTTTTTTACGGAAAAGTTGCTTAGAGCAAATTTTTTTCCCCAAAAGGTTTTAAAAGAAACTGTTAAAATAGAACTTATTAAAAAAGTTTCGTGAAAGTTTCAACCCCTGGTTTTTCCCTGTATTTAAAAATTAATTGAAAAGTCACAAAAATAGGATTCCTCTTAAAAATCCTTAACCCCGTAAATGTGTGATCCCTCTAAAAAACTTGGGCCATGCAACCCCTTTAAGGAAACTCCTGATCATAGGCGGATCTATGGGGGAGGGAGGAGGGTATAGCTCCCTCACCCCTCCCAAAATGGCAAAATGTAACCATGTTTTATAAAAAAAAATTATAAAAATTATTTCTGAAAGTATTATTGTTCATCTAATCATATTTAATAGGACTTCAAGAATCACTTCAACATCATTTGATATAATAGTATGTATCTTTATTTTTCTTCCAAATTAATTATCATAATATGTAAAAAAAAAGCTTTCGGACCAAAGGCCCCCCCCCAAAAAAAAAATCCGGGATCCGCTAGTGTCCCTGATTGTGAATACCGAAGAACTAGACATTTCGGCTGGCGTTTCTCTCTCTTCGGCTTAGTCCGCTTACGAACCGATGGTAGCCGAAGACGGCTTGTGTTCGGCATCGTTCGGCTTAGTTCGAGTGCATTCCACAAGTTGCTAGGTCAGTCAGTGTTTGGCTTTTGTTCTGTGTTGTGCTTTCTCTTTATCTGTTCGGTTGCATATTGAGTTCATTCTTTTAGAGGAGATAATCGTTGAGATTTGAAAAGGAGAGATGGCTCAAGCAGCCGTAATTAGGGCCCACAACAGAGCCCAAGCTAAGGTAAGACATTTTGATATTGTTTCTAAAGTGATTTTCACAAAATTTCTTTCTATCAGTTGTTATAGACATTAGTTCTTATCAAATTAATTACTAGTCTGCCTCTAAATACGTGAATCATAAGACCAAATCGATAATATGACTATCTAATTTAATATTTTTAATACGAAATTCAGCAAGAAATTCTATTTATTTCAGGGTAAGGTTGTTCCTTTCTAACAGAGGCTGAATAAAAGTAAAAATTCAGTTTACATTTATTAGAAATACTCATTTTATGTTTTTCCTTTTATGTAAGATAGTGTTTGTTTTCCTTGAAACGAATAAATGATTCTTTAATTGTTGGTTGGAACAGTAATTGATGATAGTTCTCTGGAAAACACTTATTGTTTTTCCTGCTATTTTCCTTACTTATTTGTATAAATGACTGCTTGTAAGATAAATAAAAAAAAACAAAATTCTTCGGACTCATTTGTATTACTTTTTTTTTTTTGTATACGATTTACTATACACAAAAAAATGTTAGATATACGAGAATCGCTTATGCGGTTTTCTTTTATAAATTTTCTTCTATTTATATGGTACTTCTCCCTAAATTAGACATTTCCTATAACCCAATGCATTAGATCTATGATCCTTGTTTTGAAAATAAAGGTTTGCTAGAAATAAGTCTTTATATATTTGTGGATTTGAATTTATCAGAAAAGCGCTATTGCTTGTCAAATGAGAAATTATTAATTAACACTTTTTTCTTCATTCGTGAAATTTATAACTGTATACAAATATATATACATACATTAAATGTGATAAAGAAAAATACAATGGCATGAAAATACATTTGTATGTATGTACATTTAATAATGTTTTTGATCTGGTAATACAGACAGAGGAGTGATGTCCTACTTTTTACTCTTATGATAGGAGCAGGGCAGGATCTGGTAGTTTTTTTTCTTTTAAAATGTTTATCTATCATGGCGGAACTTCATTTTAGATAATTTTGAGATGGTTTTTGTTGTGTAAAAATTTAAATTTAGTTTTTAAACCAATTTTTTCATCTAAATCCTTGCTTTTCAATATATATACATATATATGTATGTATATATATATATATATATATATATGTATATATATATATATATATATATATATATATATATATATATATATATATATATATATAGAGAGAGAGAGAGAGAGAGAGAGAGAGAGAGATTGTGGAAGAAACACGAAGACAGAGACAGAGAGAAGAGATAACATTATACAGTTCGTCTACCGGACAAGGAAAACCTACAAAAGTCAGGCAACTTTAAGAAAAACACCGGAAGTCAGATAATTTTAAAAGCTAGAGGACATCAGTTTTAAAACACTTTTCCAATTCGCATCATTCATTGTTGCCGACGAAAAATATAAATAATAATGAAATATACATATGTAATAATGAATATATATAAGCATACATAACACAAGTCAAACACATTGGGTTGTCTTCTTCGATTTATCGGAGGAAACTGTGTTTTATACCTTTTTATTGATTATTCTATTTATATTTTTAAAACTAATAATTAAAAAACAGTTTCTTTCCCAATAAAGGTAATTTATTATTGATATCATGAATTTAAAAAATATATATTCTCATGCCCAAAAAGAGGATTAAGTTTAGAAATCTGATAAGTTTAGAATTTATTAAGTGATAGAATTAGAAACTTGAAGTTTTTGCTTTGCAACTTTTAAGTAAACGTTTTTCTGAACTTTTGTTTTTTATTAAATCTTTTATTTAAAAGTTCTGTTCATTTCGTCCAAAATTCGATTTGAAAATTACTCTTGTTCTTTATTTCTTAAGCAAACAACACATTAGAATCAAGTAATTGATCTAAGATAAATTACAACCGTAATCTAGGTCTAATTACTGTTTATCTCTCATTTAATGTAACTTTAAGAACCTCAATAAATTACTTATTCACCTTTTTCAACTTAAATTACTTATTCAACACCTGCTGGTAAATGTTCATTAAACATGATCGATATATACTTACAAATGGTGTCTCCAAGGATATATATATATATATATATATATATATATATATATATATATATATATATATAAGCCCTTATAGTTTAACAATTTATTTAATATTTATAATGTGGGTATGATGGTTGGTTGTTGTGAATAATTGAAGAGAAGGATGGTTGGATTGATCAGTCAAAATAAAATAGTAAAAATGAATAATTGTGTTTATTTTCTCATTCGCCGACGTTTCGGCCCGAAGTTCAGGCCTTCTTCAGGGCTAAGAAAATAACCAGATAACAATTGATAAAACCTATTATGAAGAAGGGATAAACTTCGGGCCAAAACGTCGGATGAAAATAAATACAATTATTTATTTGTACTTTTTTATTTTGGCTGATCACCTCAACCATCCTTCTCTTTAATTATTTGATATTTAATATATTTTAGATTTAATAATATGGAAACTTGAAAATGAGCAAACTGCTCGAAACGTCGTGAAATATTAAGTGAATTGTTAAACTATAAAGGTTTATGTATATATATATTCTTGGAGACACCATTTGTAAGTAAAACAAGTGCTCTTGAAAAACGTTGACGAAAGTAACTGTATATTCATAAAGTAAGTTACATGTTTTTTGGATACAGATACTTGTGTCCGGGTACATGTTTTCAAGAGTGTTCTCATCCAAACTAAAATCAGGATTCAATTCAATTAAAAAATAAACGATACTGTTGCTGCTCGTGCTTCTGTTGGCAAAAAAAAAAAAAGAAAGAAAAGAAATATAGGGACAGAGTGGATTAAAAAAAATGGAATCAGCTTTAGCGACATATCGTCGAAATCGCTGATAAATCTGATTTTGAAAAAAACTGTTTTCTATCCCATAAACTCTTCACAAACAATATACGAGATACGAAATACCGTGCTACTATTTAGTTGGATGGTATTTTTCGTATACTCTTCGTATACTATTATGTTTAAATTATCGAAGCAATCTGTTGTCTGCAATCATAATTTCAGCAATTTTTTGGTATTATATATATATATATATATTTTTTATATGGTATACACTAGGGATTATATTTTTCAAGATGTTTTCTTGAATTCAGCTGCAATTGATTTGAAATTTGAAGCTAGTTTTGATATATAGGATAGAACAGAAAACAATTTTTTTATTATGGGATAAAATCCATTAAGAATAATAATGGTGTAGAGAAAAATAAAGGTTAATTCTGGCTATAAGACCGTATTTTTATAAATTTTCATCATTTTTGATATTTCTGTTCCCATACTCCTTGTACTTGATATCCCAAAATACAGGAGAATTTCAATTGGCTCTATTACAAGCTCCTTTGTGTGCACAAATAAGTTCCTACTAAACAATAATAACCTATCTGATGAAATTCCACCAGTTCGTTCTGTGCCTCTTATTAATAAGTTGAAGTTCGCCGTAAGGCACTTGGCGATATACGTACGAAGATTTGAATATGAACTATGAAAGTGTGTGTCATTATAAGTAAAATGGACTTAATCTGGCATTCCAGAACCGCTGATTTCAAAAATGGCAGCTGATATAAAGAATAATATGCCAGTAACTTAAAGATCGCAAAAGAGCAATATATATATGGGTTCAAACATGCTTTCATTAAACAACAAAAATACTAACACCATCTTAGGAGAGCTTTTGATAGCTAAAAGAGCTGGATTTTTTTTTCACCTGAACGGTGCATCGAAGCGAAAAATTTATTCTTAAAGAAATTAAATAACGTTAAATTGTGTGTCGAATGAATACCTAAACATAATAATTTGTTCAAGTATTATGTTCGAAAACCACGGTAAACGAACTTCTTTTTTAACATATTTCTCAAAAAACTGAGACGTTACTTAAATAACCTAGGAATGAGTTCTCTAATAGGAAAAGTTGTAGAGTATCTGAGTACCAACACTTTTAATGCAGGTTAATTACACCTTTGGTTGGCGAAATTGGTAATCTTGCGATGGCTGGCAATTGGTAATGAAGGTACATGTTATTTTCAATATTCCAAAATTATGAGTGTTTATTCTCCAGAATTTTCCTTATCACAGCAGCGTAAGATTTTCAGAAATGAGAGTTCAACAAAAATCAACGAATTTCATGAAGTGACGAACCCCCATTCGAGATATAGTTCAATTGCACCTCTCGAATATCAATAGCAACATGTTGCCATAATTTTGTATCCTGGACTGTACGCTTTATTTTTCTGTACAGAATTTTTATTCTTAGGGATTTAGTCCAAGAAATGTTTTTTTTTTTCTACTCTATTCTAATCGAAATTCATTGAGAATACTCCTGGAGGTCCTTTAGCCATTATGAAATGTTGGATTCGATACTTGATATGAAGGCCTTACGGGGAATGCTGGTTTTCTTTAAAAGTAGCTCATTGTCAAGACGTCTTTTGTTGTTATGGAAACCAATTCATGGCGGAGTAGTGGTTGATGTGAATAGATTTGTGTCTACTTTTTTAGGTAGTGATGAAATCAGAGCCCATTACAGGGCTCTAAACGTCTGCCATGGCGAAGCTACATGAAGGTCAAAACCGCAATACAATTTTAATGGAATATTTTGCGAACTTTTTTTTTTTAATATATAGCTGTGTCAAGACGATTCTTTCGTAAGAAAATATGGATTTCCCAAACCTGTTGCAATGCTGTAGTATGAGTATTCAATCTTCTTTGACCAAAAACTCTACGAAATGTCATTGAGTCGGAACCATAACGTCATTTCTCTTCCTTTAAATAAGAGGCTACAATCATTTCATGAATTATTTTAGGTTTCAGAAAAGAATTGTGAGCTAAGTAATATTGTAGCTGAAAAGTGACACACTTTTTCCATCTTTAACTTCACCTTTAGCGCTCTCGCTCAATCTCCACTGAGTTTAGCCCCAATGACGTGGTTGAGGGAGCAGTGCAGGGATCTCCTGGAGTCTTGCCTTTCCCTTCACAGTTGGAGGGACAAGTTTG